CTAGGAGAAATAGCTCAAGGCTTATCTGCAAAGAAAAGGCTAAGTATATATACAGATGGGGTACTAGAAACTGCAGAGAGCGACCTATATTTAAGAAAAATGGGAATAGGTTGGATAATTATTAAATGATAATCTATGAGTGATCGACACTCAATCATATGATTACTAATTATAAAATTTAGGGATAATTATACTAATAAGCGTCTAAATCTCTTGCTGTTTGTTGTATACAAGACATTTCAAATGACAAACCACTCTTATATTATACTAGAAAAACTAGGCTTTATTGTTTCAAATCTTCATTATGGATCATATTCACGCTTTTGGTGGGAGTTCTCTAGTGAAAATTTAATCTTTCCAATTCGCTTAAAGCAACAAATTAAAGTTGTTCTTAATGATGCAAATTTTTACTTATCAATTCAAATAGGTACTAAAAATAATGCAATGTTACCACAATATTATTGCCGAAGTGAGCATTTTGAAGCAATTGAAAATAGTCTGACTAAAGCTATTTCTACTGTATATCAACTTATGTTTCATACTGAAACACGATATTCAGGTCATTTAGTTATGGGATGGAATAATAAAGATATATTAGAAATTATTAGAAGTGATATCAAGTTTTTTCCTATTACATACATGGTTGGCGAATATAAGGTTTTTGTATTTGCAATTGGACATTCTTCATGTGCAAAATGGAAATATGCTGGTTCAGGATTTCAATCATCGATCATCCATATATTTGAAAGAACTCGTGCAATTTTTGTTTCACGAATAGAAAATAATGACTTTATTTTGGAAATTTTTCAAAATTCAGAAATAAAAAAAAAATATATAGATACAAACCCAGATGATGTTTGGAAGCAATCTGGTCAAATTCGAAAATTTAAAGGAATGCAACTTTTTGGTTTAGAAGATTCGATTATCCAAAAACTTATTTCTAAAAGTCAGATTCCAACATGCAAACCTGATGAATGGACAAATGAATCAATTATAAAACCTGTTTTTGATTATCATGTTAAACATCGTACGCTTGCAAATATAAACTGGCACCAATTTTTTATTACATGGGCAAATACAAATTCTACAATAATTGAACTAAGATCTGCTCTAGAATCTATTTATCCGAGAAAATATGAATTTAGTGAACAAGAAATTGGTGCATGGAAAACAATGCTTCGGGCTTGTGGATGTACCAATATAACACCATGGTCGAATGATCAATCACAGGTAACTAAATATAGTTTTTTTATTTGCCAATCAATAATATTAACAGCACATTGTTTTTAGTCTTTATTGTGGACAAAATCTTCAAATCCAAATAATGAAAAAGAATCATTAGCTAATTTATATAAAACAGAATTTCTTACGAGCTCTCCAATTCATATTCGAACTTCTACTGACAAATTTTGGTCTTGTTTTGATCGTGCTCTTGAAGACAACAAACATACTTTAAACGGGAAAAGACGTATCTTGTCTATTATTGTTGATGAGTTTTCATACTTTGAATTGCAACATAATCTTGGTGTAAAATAAAATTATAATTGAAATTTATAATATTTTATATACTCTATTAATAAATTATATTATTATAACAGGTTAGAAAACATACTATTGCCGAAGCATGTAAATATGCACAAAATTATGGTTATGGTGTAGTACCTTCCCAAAAACCAATAATTCATTGTGAACGTATGACACCTGAAATGATCAATCAAATCGAACAATTTTTAATTGATAAAGAAATTGTAAACATGAGCTCTTATAAAACTGATACAGCAACAAATCAACCAATTATGTATCTTCAAGATAATAAAACTGCACTATGGGAAAGATTTTCTGAAGAATACCCTAATAGAATGAAACACGCCTCCTTTATGACATACTTAAAAGGCAGCCGATACATATATCAAGAAAATTTAGGTGGCCTTTGTTTAACTTGTAACAATTATGGATATATCGTATTCAGTAATATTGAGGCATTAATTTCAACTCATGTCAAAAATGAATATACTCAGGTATGTTACATTTACAACAAATAAAAAAAAAAAAAAAAAAAACTAATCTAAATTAAAATTTATAGAAAAATTTATTAGTACAGTCACAAGTATTGCGATGATATATACGTCGAGAATTTTCAAAAAAATTCAACATTACTAATGATGGCATAGCTCTTCACAATCATTGTATTAGTCATTGTATCTGTCATGCATTTGGTGAATGCGATTTAGATCATTCAATCACATGTTTAAACTGTGAAAACTTACTTTAATTTTTTGAACAATTAAAAAAAGAATTAGATAATGAGCACCATGTAATGTTAGATGAATATCAACAAAAACTTATTACGTGGATGGCTCATCACACCCGTAAAACCTACTTGAATATACATGTTAGAACCAATCTTGAAGAGCTTGATAATGAAGGTGCTGTTATAATTGTGGACTATAAAATGAGAATATTATCACAGTCTGCTCGTGAAACAAAAGGTGACTTTTTTGGCAAAAGAGGTTGGAGCCTCCATTCTGTACTTGTGTATACTAAAAATATATCAGATAGCCAGCTAAACCTACAAGTATTTGATCATTAGTCGGATGACACACGTCAAGATGCATGGTTTACTGCATCATCGCTACATACAGTTTTTGAAACAATAAACCCAAAGCCTAAATAGGTTACTATAATGTCAGATAATGGAATGCACTATCATTGTACTGAACTAATGTTAATAATTAAACAATGGGAGGAATGGTATGGGATTACATCACGTAGATGGTTATTTCTTGAAGCTGGTGAAGCTAAAACAGTAATTGATTCTCACCATGCACAGGTTAAGTATCTTGTTAGGTCTTCTTCAAAAGTATACTAATCGAAAATATTTCAAAATTTACATAAATTATATTTTATTATTCTTTATTAGATCTCACAAGCAATAAAACGGTATATAAAACTTGGCAGTAAGCTTGAATCGGGTAATGATATAGAAGATGCTATAAAAGATATTTCTGGTACACGAGTTGCAAATTTAACACTGAATAGAAATAATGGTAAAATAAGTGACCTTGTTATATAAATCTATGTAAATAATAATAATTATGAAAATTTTAGATAAAGGAAAATTAGGAACGATAGCTGGGATTTCGAACTTACATGAATGGACATGGCCATCTGACGAAAATAATATGAAATATATACGTGCTAGAGCAATGCCAAAAATTGGTAGTTGGAAAGAATAGACATCTGATAGAATGGAAAAAATCATTAAAAAATGAAAAATTGAAAAACCTAATCCTACAATTACGAAGCATACAGATTCTAGCAAATCTTGGACAATTCCGATTGTTCAAAGACAAGGTAAATTTATATCGGTTTTATCCCTTAAATTGTAATACAGGCAAATTTGCCTGTGTTTTTATTAAAAAGTTTAATTTTTTTAATAAAAACT